AAAACATTTTTTATAATCTCCTGACTAATAACTCTAGGCTGTTAATATATCTGCAACTCTGTGAGTGAAAAAAAAAAAAAAAAAAAAAACATATCTGCCTTGCAAGGGCAATTTGTCCAGACATGTTCTGCAGCTAATAAGATTACTCTGACTGCTTATCAAAGTCTGCAGCCCCAGGGGTTTCATTGCCAGTAACCTACTCCCTATTCTCATCCAACAGATTAATGCTTTATCTAACGATTGCACACTTAAATCTCACAACCTTTGCATATCCAGCCTGACCCTAAAAGTACAGATTTATGGATTGTCAGTTTATTTGGTCTTTTGGGGATAAATAATGGGAAAACATGATGAACTTATTTTGGAGTCTATAAGCATTGGATTTTAATTTTCATTTTGAAAGTGCTACAAAACAAAACATTCATCCTTAATGACAGCAAAATGTGTCAATGTTACTTTGGAAAATAAACAAGATATATAATGATTTAATGATGTCTATGCTACCATAATTAATAACAAATCTTTTGCAACAGCTATCTTAGGCTAGAAATCAATGATACAACAAGATTTAATATCATTATTCTGTCACTGTAATTCCATTCCTTATCAAAGAGGTATTTAAAATTGATAAGGATTGTACTTCAAATATTAGCTAGAACTAATGACAACCCAAAAAACAAAGGTTTGCTTCTGTATAAATGATACAAAAACATGAAATGCAAAAGCTTCAGTATTTCTTCCCACATCTGGACAATAATAGATTTCTGAATCACTTTACCTTAAACCGATAACAACAAGAAGAGCTGTCCTTTGAGGTTTTTGTCCTTCTTTCAGATACTACTCAGATAATATGCTGTGCAGATTGTACACTGATATTGTGAAAGTTCAAAAACCCTTAATGATTCAATAACACCTGTTCTTGTTGTCTACCTCAGAAATATGGGGACTTCAAAGTCAGATGTCCCCAGAATTGACACATAGCAAAGCATACATATCAATGACCAATATAGGGGTCAATACAATGGGTCACTCCTTCCTGTGTCAAAATATCAAGTCTCACTATAATAACCCTTGAAGTGAAGAGCCAAGGGATATAGCGATAGGTGGTACAAAATTCTGGCCAAGAGTTAGGTTACCTTATGTCCTGGGAACAGTGGCACACGGACAAGAGGAAATTTAACCTGGGAATCGAATTGAATCCAGTTCAATTGGAAGATTTATTCTTAAACAAGCATGCTTGTAAACGCTATTTTAAGCCTGTTAATTATGTCAGTTTATTGGAAGGTCTTACCTTGCCCTCTGCGTTTTTTGGTTTTCCTGACATGATGACATCAAAGGTCAATTCAGTATGTCTTAAAAGATTAACCATTTTTTTCATTCTTGAAGTTTTTTCCTAGTTGAAGCTTTTAAAATCTAAACAAGTGGACCCAACAAACCTTATTGGTACACTACATAATTAGGCATCACTACAGTGAATTAGTGAATTAGTGAACAGACCTGCTATGCACAAAACACAAAAGATAAGTGACATATAAAATAAAATTGTTGATAATAAAGAAAATAAAACTTTTTCTCATGACCAACTTGGCAAGTATATATATTATACAAAGTGGTGTTCACCTGAGAGCATTATTCCTCGTTTTATTGTTGTTAAAGATCAAGTGATATCTAAATGGGACCCTCTAAACAAAGTCAGAATGGTATTTATAGCCCCAATAAGATATATACAGCCGTGTAGAATTTCATTTGTATTTGAAGTGGTACCAAAGTAAACAAGGCACCATTTACTATAGTTTGTAATTAGTTGAGAGTTTGTAGGTTTACAACAACAACAAATAAAAATATAGAATTTCAATATTTCTGATATAGTACCTGGTCCACCTAAGGCTAAACATATATTTCTGTCATTCTAATTCACATACTGTATTCAGGGGCGGATCCAGAGTTATTTTCTGACAGTCTTCCAAATTATCTTTGTTGATCCATCCTCCATTTTTGACCGTCTTCCGACAGAAAAAATTAGATACCCGTCAATGTAAACTTGAAAATCTGACCGTCTTCCGGAAGACCCAGAAGACGCCCTAAATCCGCCCCTGGTATTGTAGTACTGGTCAAGTTGTTTTCCAGTAAAAATACCCCGAGTGAAAATAACAACAGACAGAATGATGGTCATGTATCACAAACCTAAGTCTTCATTTCATCTTTTTTTTCCATTAAAAAAGACTGAGGTAGGCCGCTACCACCAGTATTCTATCTCAAACAATTGTTTAACTAATTACAGTTAAAGAAGATAGCTCAATTACACTGACATCCCGTTCCATGTTATCTCGAACTTTTCTTGAGATGGGTCCAACATCAAATGGCATATTCATGCTGGATGAATAGTGTCTGACATTTGCAATTAACTGATGGACATTATCAAAACAGCATATGTCTCTGGAACTATTCTTTCTTTTTCTCTTTTGTTTCATGTTACTCGAGTTCAGATTCTCATGTTTCCTACACCTCTGGCATAAATCAAAAAGACAATCACACATTCATATTGATCTTTTATACAAAAGAGAAGGTCAGCATATATTTCATGCTTTTCAGTCATCTGTTGGAAACTTCTCAAAATCTGGAACACTAAGAGGGTGGAAGACAGGAAACTTGGGCCAACTCAATGACTCTGGGATGCAGAACTTAATTTTTCAATACAAACAAAGCTGGGTTTAGAAATAAGCAGACCTTAAATACATTCAACAGAACAGATATGCACTGGGAACTGGTAAAATCTAAGTGTAAGAGAGTTCCATCTGAACCATAAATCATTCACACCAAACTCTTGATCATATAATTTCATTTAGTGCAAAATTTAACCCTCCAGCTTTTTAGGTAAACTGGTAATAAATGAAATAGCACATTCAGAACAGATGATCTGTGGACTTACTGATCTGCAGACTAAATGATCATAAAAGGAAGCTGCTTAATCTCTTAATGGTCTCACTGCCTCCACTAAATGGATTACATCTTGGTTCTGATGTTTAACTGCTAGGCCCTTGCAGGGACAGCACATGTGGAGGCGGGAAGACCATCGGGGGACTATATGTGGCTTCCTTTTAAGTGGGTCAGCCATATTTGATCCACAGATCTTTAAGTCTGCGGATCAACTTGTTCTAATTGCGCTCAAAGAATGTATTTGAATGATAACACTTCTGAGGAGCCCCTTAGGATTCTTTAGGACCTTTTAAATGAGTTGTTGGCCAAAGCATTGCCAATCATTGGCTAAATTGAACATGCCCATCCCAATTTTATTGGTTTCAAGATCATTCGTATCCAAGTTGGCTTAAACTGTCTCTGTGGACTGAAAATGGCCTCATATTCACAGGGTCAATAATCTACACATGGGTAAAGTAATGGATGCATGAGGAAAACTCAAAATTGTGAGAAAAATCTTTAAAAAGGCGTGTTTAAATAAACTGTATTAAGTCTTTTAATAGCTGTCAAAATAGACCCTGATTGTGATTCTGAAACAATTCGAAGCTTCAAATCTGTAGATATTTCAAATCATTAAATGTCACATACTTTAAATAAGTATTGTCAGCGTAATTTCTTCCCTTCTTTCCCTCCCTCCTTCCGAATCGAACTTCGATGTCTGACCCTACCCCCTTCCAAACCGATACCGAGACAAATCAACGAGTGTATAAGCACCCTTTTCGATATTATAAAGGTTTTAACCAGGGTATAACTTAGGAAAGCGAGGAAAATATCTAACATTTGGAACGCTTTCTTCTCTGTTGACACAACGATGTTAAATATTAGATTACGTTCAATTTTCAAGGCGGCACACTGTGGTGCGTATTACAATGCTGCTTTGCATGTTACACTTACGTTAAATTTATCACTCAATGATTGCAAACGATAGGCTATAACCGTAGCCAAATGCTCACCAACAAAAGGAAACGATCTAACTCACCATATTTTGAAAAAACACTGATTTAGGCTAAACAACGTTTTCGCTCCACACGGCGGGCTGACCAGTATGTGCGGCAATATTGATGACGTCATCAAATATTGCGCAGTGAAATATACACGCATTGCAGTTGTTGCGTCGATAATGGCAACCATCTCTACCACAACCAACACTTTTTCTATCAGTCGATTTTTTGAACGCCATTGAGTAACGAACCGCTTTTCAATGTGTTTTACAACGACTGTTTGAAGAAATTTTTTATTCTATCATTCTATGTCAAAATAATGTTTAGGTAGGCCTACTCTAAACAGGCCCTAGCTATCAGCTTTAATTTTAGTCTTGTCCTTAAAATAGGAGCCTAATTGAAATATTGCCGCTTTTATTACTAATCTACAGCCTATTTCAAATAAGACGTCCAATCTAGGATGCAAATTTACGAAGCCCACTGCACTTTTTTGGGCTATATGCACCAACATTTAGGCCCGCTAAACTTTAAACATATTGGCTAGGCCCATAGGCACAATTTAGGACACGTTTAGGGCCCAATTTCTAACTTCAAGATTCACATTTCGAAGACCCAATATGAAGGAAAAAAGGTGATGATGAGGATGATGATTATGATGACGAACAACAACAACAACAACACTGAACTAAAATTAACAATATAGGCCTAATTGAGAGTCTAGTTTTGGTAGGCCCTCTTGGCTGAAAAATCAGAACTAAGAAAAATAACAGACTATACAAATTTCTTGTAACAATAGCATGATTAAAATGACTACATAGTTCTAACAAGCTTACAAAACAGAGATTAGAAAACTTAAAAAAAAAGGCGAAAAGACTGACTGCAGTAAATATGATTAGGCCTACATAATCAACGTCATAAGCGCATTACGTTACAGCACGCCACGTGACAGCGCCGTGATACCATAGTTACTTCAACCGTCGTCGCAGTTAGGCCATATTGTTTCTTTTCATTTTATGTTTAGTTCTCCTTTATCTCGTTTCATTTAATTTTGACATATTCCGACATCATTTTTATTTATAAAAAATGCCGCAGAATCAGGTCGACGTAAAAAAGAACATTCGCGAAATTTGGCCCCTTCAATCTGAAGTTGAAGAACTGCGTGGAAAGGTGAATCTTAAAGGTAATTAACCAAAACAGGTCTATTCAAGATTAAATAAAACATTATATATATATATATATATATATATATATATATATATATATATATATATATATATATATATATATATATATATTAGTGCACGCTAAAAATCTTCTTTTTCGCCTTCTTTTTGTTATCATTATTATTATTATTTATTTACAGGCCGAGACCGCCAGGCCCTTTATGAAAGCTCCCAGTTAGAAAGGAAGAAGAATGATGATCTCATTGCATTCCTGCGACAGGATATTAAGGCCAAAAGAATAGCTCTGGCCGAGGGTGTTAATGTAAGAGATTTGTTGTTTCTTAATAACAAAACTGAAAATGATGAATCTATCTATGTCAAATGACGCACCAGTATATGTGTGGTGAAACAGTGGCTAACTCCTGCGTGGGAAGGGGGAGGTGCAACTGTTGAAGGCCAAAGCTAGGGCGCAATGTGTATCGTCTGCCCATTGCCTATCGCCTGTCCTACATGTAGGCAGTGGCGGATTTAGAGGGGGGGGGGGGGGGGTGGAGTCAGTGTGGTCCTGAGCTCCCCTTTGGTTTCTCAAAAATATATCACCAGGGGCGGATCCAGGATTATTTGAAGGAGGGTTCCAAGGGTGCAAAGCCGACCCTGCCACTCCTTCCTTGGCGTGGGGTTCGGGGTCCGCTGAAGAGCTCAGAAAATTTTTGATATTTTAGAGGGCGAACGGTGCCATTTGGTACGGTTAAGAACTATGATTCAGCTAATCAAAATTCTAATTTAAAGAGGGGACCATTGGGGTGATTTTTGTCAGAAATCGAAGGAGGGGGGTCAGTACTGCTAACATTTCAATCTCTGGACAGGGCCGTAACCTCCGGGGGGGCAGGGGGGGCAGCTGCCCCCCCTGGAATTTGGAATTTTACACACCACACCCACCCCCCTCGGTAGCTTCGCCCTCTCGTGTCCGCTTACTGCCCCCCCTGGCATTTTGCTCAGGCTACGGCCCTGCTGGATTTCCTCATGCAGACAGAGCAGAGTCTATATATATTGAACAAATGAAGTCTCGGAAACTTTGAAGGAGAGAGGGTTTATAAAAATGACAGAGTAGGCCTACGTGAGACTGGCACGTGCGTTGCGACAACAAATAAAAGCAAAGTGCGGCACTGCACACCTTCAGTATTTATTACTTTTATAAAAACATTTTAAAATAAACATGGAGTATGTAAGAGACAAACCATAAAAGATCAGTGGCTTCAGGTGTTAAAGATTACCGTGGCCCATAAAAGCCTCTGTGCGTTTTTTCTGAAAGGTGAGCCCCACTTCACGCAATTTCTGGCATGAAGACACTAAGACTAGATTCCAATACCTAGAACGGTCTAAATTGCTTTCAGCTTAAGCGGCTTAGATGTCTGGCACTCCTACTGAAGCTGCTAAACGATAGTCAATTACCCCCTAGCAGCTTCAGTAGGCGTGTCAGACATCTAAGTTGTTTAAGTTGAATTGCAATTTATCGAGAATTCCCTCGGAGATGGATCGATCTACAGTTAATATGATAGGGTCTGGGAATGCTCCCTAAGTATCCACGCTTCATTTAGGCTACCTCAGATAAATTTCAATTGTATGTAATCGGTGCCTTTGACAATTTACTTTAATACACATGTAATCCGAACATGTCATCCTACTGCCCTCTACCACGGTGACAGAATGATTTTCACTAGATATTTACCAGATATATAGCATGTCTCTGGCTAATTCGTGACACAACGCGAGGAAAAAATGTACATAATTAATCTGCGGCTCTGGCAGAAGGAATCATCATATTGTGTTAACCAATTCGTGTCCGAGAGATTATATGCTTTCGAGAGTTACCCTGTTTCCCTATCCTATCTTTTTCACAGCCTTTTATTTGAATTACTTTCTTATTTTTCAATTCCTAATAAAAATTGATTTTCTAACTCTTTTCCTACTGCTAGCTCACTCCTAGGCTACTTCTAGGCTGATCTACACCTTTGCCTGATCTGATCCACGATCTTTTTATTCTTTCTTTTCTTTTCTTTTTCACACTTTTAAACCTGTTCAATGCGTATATCGATAAATGTGGACTCCTTCTCGTATTAATGAAAAACATCCCAGAAAGCCAAAAGTCTGAGGTCACAGACTGCAACACACTTGTCTCTTTCCTGTCAGATAACATTAAATTAATCCAAACACCAAACTGGAAATGTCAGAAAAAAATTAAAAGCGATATTCTTACAGCAAAACCGTTTTTATTTTTTGTCAATGCCTATTGGATTTTCTAACTTATATCTCAATGCCTATTTGGTTTTCTAAGTTTTTTCCTACTCGTAGCTAACTCCTAGGCTATTCCTAGGCTGACCTGTTGGATTTTCTAACTTATATCTGAATGCCTATTTGGTTTTCTAAGTTTTTTTCCTACTCGTAGCTAACTCCTAGGATATTCCTAGGCTGACCTACACCTTAGCCTAATCTGACCTACACCTAGCCTGGCCTACACGTAACCTACTCCAGGCGTCTTCGTGTCTGTCGGCGTCGAAGAAGGCTTCGTAACCATATAGGTGCGCTACCCATTGCGCCACCGACGAGGACACAATGACACCTGCATTTCTTGGTGTATTTACCTGTACTCTTTACCTTGAAATTAAAGTATTTAAAACACGTTAATAAAAGAAAACCATTCACTCAACGTGGGTGTTGAACCTGACACTGCAGGTTAGGGAATCCGACGTCCTTACCATTGTACCATCGCCGATGTCGCAAATCCCTTGTTTTAGAAATGGTATGTAGGCATGTAATCATTCTCCCCTTATAGAAATTTGTAATTCTCCTAAATATGGTTCACTTTTTAGATGGTAGAGATGCAGAGTGGTTATATTGGGCTTGGCTTTTTTACGAACGTAAGTAAAAACAATTAATTAATACTATTTGAAACTGCATCGCCAACTACCTGAAATGATTTCTTAAAACAATTTACATACATGTTTTGGACGATCGATGAATGCCTTCTAAATACGCTAAATGCCTTTTAAATGACTTCACATCTTAACATTTCGTTGACTCTGCCTGTTTTTCAGCATCAATTTCTTTTTATGAAAACATTTTTAAAAAATAAAAATAGTACATATAAGACCCATGACCCATGACCCATAAGAAACTTTTCGCACTAAGTCCCACCTCACGCAGACTCTCACACCTTTTCTAATAATAATAATAATGATAATAATAATAATATATAGTTTGAAATCAATTTAGTTGTAAAATGACCAGTATTTTCTAAATAACTCCTCCAAGCTGTTTTAGCGCACTGAAATAAAATATCTTAAATAGTTTCCAACATTTCCAGTTATTGTTTTAAAAGTAACTGCAAAATTTTCAACCATAGAGGTACAATCCATGGGTTTGAATATCCCTCAAACTCCATCCACAGCGGTGGCGGATATAGGGGGCCCGGGGTGTC